TGAAAAGTGATGTAGACCTGTTTCACTAAATTTTTCTTATCTCTTTGGGACCTGCCCCCACTTAGGGTCTCCCTGTCCTGACACAGATTGACAACTGGCATAAGATAGTCTATTTAGATTTTGTGTAGTTTATATGACATTTGGGAGGGGGTGACTTACAAAAACACGGATTCTTATAGGCTTTTCCTTTTCCATATTTGAAATGCACATGCCATTTATCTCCCGCCCCCAGTCGATTGGCACCCATGTCCAATATGGCAGTGTCTCCACCCCTTAATGCGCTTGACTCTGCACAGCGTGGGAAAGATGTGGGACCACGGATTATCAGAGGAACATCCAGGCCACAAGACCCTTTCCCCCACATTCCATTGCTCAAACGAAACACAACTCCAGCCTGCTTGATGGGTATGGGGAAGTGTTATGTTGTCTACAAAGGGTCAAAGAATATTTCAAACAGAACACACAAGCTACCCAACCAACAAGACTTTTTTTTGTTTGTTTGGTTTGGGTTTTTTGTTGTTTGTTTTGTTTTGTCTTTGCAGATAGTCTCCCGTAGGCCAAGCTGGCCTCTATTCAATACGTAGCCAAAATTGGCTTTGCATTCCTGTTCTTCCTGCTTCCACCTCCAGAGTACAGGGGTTATAGGTGCGCATCACTATTTTAAGCTGTTTTTCTTTTTTTTCTTTCTTCCTTTTTTTTTTTTTTTTTTTTTTTTTTTTCCTTTTTTTTTTTTTTTTTTTTTTGTTGTTGTCTTCCTACCAATAGTAGAGAAAACTCTGCCAGTATCCGGTAGTTCTAAGGTTTTACAACACCCCCAAACACTTTTCTCTCTTTTTCCAACGCTGGAGATGGAACCCAGGGCCTTTGCATTTGAGAAGTAAGCTGTCTACCATTGAGCTATACTTCTAGCCCTTGTTTCATAATGTAGTCAGAAAATAGGTTCTTCCATTTGAGTCAAACCTGAAACATTTACTTCTTTTTCGAGATCTTTATGCCTAGACTGTCCACCAGGGGGAGACCTGCACCGCTTTCACAACCCCACACCTCAAGGCATTCTAGGAATTCGCACTTGTACCAGGCCCTTCTGGCCTTGTGCCTAGCCAGATTGCCCTTCCTTGCATGCCTGCTCGGCTTGGTCTCACCATTTCCCATCCTATCTGGACAGTTCATCTCAGATACCTGGCTTGGAGAATTTTCTTTGACCCCGGGAGGGAGAGGAGTTGGATGAATCCTCTCTCTGACCTTCATCTCAGCAGATTCCAGCAGAGACTGGATATTTAACGGGATTCCTTAGCTTCACTTCCTGTCTTGTTCCCCCAACCAGCCCTCAACCAATGAGAGAGGAGCCTGGAGTAAATGCTTCTTCCTTCTGTTCCCTACGTGGACAATCAGGATATGATTTTCTTGATGAATCCCTAGAAGACGCTGTTTTTGTTAAGCCTCAGGTACCTGCAGTCCATAGCCAGTCCCTGTTCTGGCACTTCTCTCTTCCTCTCCACTCACCTAGTCCATCCCTCTGCTCCATGAATGCATTTCTCAAATAATCCGTCTGCTCCAGAATCCTGGGCCCAGGCTCTGCTTTGGGATTGATTGCACCCAGGCTAAGAGTAGGAAGCCTGTGTTCTGGATACCCTAGTTTTGTATTGCCCTGTCACTGCCCTGGTCATATCTTCATGTCCCTCAATGTGGTCATGTCTTTCCCATGAGTCCACTGAGACCTCCTAGAAGGCGAAACTGTACTTGATCATCTGATGTGCCCCAGGACAGGTCCTGGCCTGAGGATGTGGTAATCAGTCCATGTAGGGGACTAAGCAATGGAGGAATTGCATGATACTATTTTTTTCTTTTTCCGGTACTGGGGATTAATCCTAGGGCCTTAAGTATATTGGGCAAGTGTCAGCACTTGCTACATCTCCAGATTTCTCTCTCTTTTTTTGTTAAAAAGAATTTTTTTTTTTTGGTCTTTCCGAGACAGGGTCTCCCTGTAGCCCCAGCTGGCTTGGAACTCCCTATGTAAACCAGGCTGGCCTTGAACTCACAGAGATCCACCTGCCTCTGTCTCCCAAGTACTAGGATTAAAGGTATGCACCACCCCACCTGGCAAAAAAAAAGTGTTGTTTTTTTTTTTTAATTTTGAGACAGGGTCTCTGTTTCCCAGGCTGACCTTGAGCTTGGTCTATAGTCTGGAAAGTCCTTGAACTTGTTATCCTCCTGCCTCATTCTCCCAAGCAGCTGGGCTTACAGGCCTGTCATCACACCTGGCTTGGTGATTCTTCGGTTTTGAACATTTACTTATTTAGTGGGGAATGTGGTACAGTGTACATGTGGAGGTCAGAAGACAACTCTCAGGAGCTGGTTCTGTCCTTCCATGTACTAGGGATCAAATTTAGGTCATCAGGTTTGGCAGCAAGTGCCCTTACCTACTGAACCATCTTGCTGGCTCTTGGTTTTTCTTTTTTAATTTTATATTATTTTTATTTTATGTATATGAGGGTTTGCGGGCATGTGTGTAAATGTACCATGTCATGCAATGCCCTCAGAGGTCAGAAGAGGGCATCAGATTCCCCTGGAACTGGAGTTACAGACGGTTGTTGGCCACCATGTGGGTGCTGGGACTTGAACCCTGGGTCTTCTGCAGAAACAGCCAGTGTGTTTATCCACTGAGCCATCTCTCCAGCCCTTATTTATTATTTTTATTTTATGTTTATGAGTGTATTGCCTGCATGTAAGTGCATCCATATCGTGCAATGCCCTTGGGGTGCAGAAGGAACTGGATCCCCTGGAACTGAAGTTTTGGACAGTCGTTAGCTGCCATGTGGGTTCTGGGAATTGAACCCTGGACCTCTGTAAGAGCAGTCAGTGCTCTTAACTGCTGAGCCATCTTTCCAGTCCCCTCCCTTCTTCTTTTTAAATATTTAATTTTTTGTTTATTATTGTAGTATAGTATGTGCATGATGCATGATACGTGGGTGGGGAACATGTTCCATAATATGCATATAGTGCTCAGGTCAATTTTGTGGAGTCAGTTCTTTCCTTCTACCTTTACATGGGTTCCAGGGATGGAATTCATGTCTCCAGTCTTGTGCAACAAGCCCTTTGCCCTCTGAGCCATCCTGTCAACCTGTTGGTTTCTCACTTTTTTGTTTTTTTTGTTGTTGTTGTTGTTGTTTTTTGTTTGTTTGTTTGTTTTTGATACAGGGTCTCCTTGTAGCCCCAGCTGTCCTGGAACTCACTATGTAGACCAGGCTGGCCTCGAACTCACAAAGATCCACCTGCCTCTGCCTCCCAAGTGCTGGGATTAAAGGCGTGCGCCACCACGCCCGGGGTTTCTCACTTTTTTGATTGTCAGTGTCTTCCTGAATGGGAATAGGTTGGGGGCTGAGGCTAATACTTGTGCTTGTGGACCTTTACAGCCAGGGAGACCCAATTTCACCTTGTTCACCATTTTATTATTTATTTACTTGTTTGTTTATTTTTGATGAAGATCATTCTCATCTTTACTAGAATTTATACATAAAGATAAAAGACATCGCCTGGGGCTCCACTCTTAGAATACTTATGAAGTCAAAGCAACAAAAAATTGATAACTAATAGGATACTGCTAGCATCAGGGAGAAGAAAAAATAGTGTGGCCCACTGTCATTTATTTTAGTACTGAGTACCTGCTGTGTACATCTTCTGCTCATGAACTTCTCCTGGGAGGAGACATGTGACCATTGGACAGATGAGAAGCCTGAGGCAGAAGGGTGTAGGATGGATGGCAGATGCTGGTGTGGTTCTCTGCCATATTCCAGCCTTGTCATTTGTCTTTTATTCCTTCCCTCTCCCTTTTCCCTTTCTCCTTTTTTTCCATGTCTCTTTTTAATTTTTAAAAATTTCTTATTGAATTTTTGTGTATTTCATACAGAACATCTTAATCATCTTTATACTCCCTTCCCCATTGGCACCATCCCATACCCCCCACCACTGAAATCTATACATTCTGTCATTTGTGTTAAGGCCTATCATGTTAGGTTAGTGTCTCCAGATGTCCCTCAGTGCAAATTCATCCACTGGGATCTAGTCATCCTATCTAGAGTCCCTCCTTTTAAGAAGATCAGCTCTTCATCACTCAGCAGTAATCAGTTGCCAATCATTCCTCAACTAAGATTGGGGCCTGCTGCCCATTTCTACAGTTCTATGCTGGGTTTTTGTCTGCTTGAGTTTGCATGGTCTTGTGTGTGCTGACACCATTGCTCTAAGTTCCCATAAGAAGGGTCCCAGGAGCCTGTAGGACTCTATTTCCATATGGTCATGCACCTCCTCCCTGGCTCTTACAATTTTTCTGCCCCTTTCTTTTCTTTTTAAAATCTTTCTTCCTTTCTCCCTCTTTCTCTGTCTCTGTCTCTCTTGTTCTCTGTCTCTGTCTCTCTTTTTCCTTCTTTCTTGCAAGGTCTCACTATGTAGCACCTGCTGTTCTCCAATTTACCATATCCTGCTGACCCAGCTTCCCAGTCCACCAGATCTCCAGCCCTATCTTTTACCAGAACTGGCCATCTGACTTTGGGTTAATCTTTGCTTATCTCAGCTTCCCCAGTGTGGTTAGTGGTAGTAGTGGGGAGACTGTAGAGTGTTGAATTTGAGTGGCCCAAAGGAGCACAAGTTGCCAAGAGTAAAATGTTAATTAAAGTAAATTAGCATTGCTCTGCCCCCGAGCCCTCTGCTGTTTAATAACATTGGTACTGTATCTTTTGCTCCTTTACTCCATAGAGGCATCTAGGACCTGAGCCTCCTTTTGGCCTCAGCACCCCAATTAGCATCTAGATCCCATTTAGGACTAAGATGCTGAAGTCATGGACAGACAATCCCCAAGGCCCCAGGTGACCACTCCTGCTAGCTCCACCCTACCAGTGAAAAGGTGAGGCTGGGGCGGGGCTGGAAGTGGGGGTCGGCTGGATTGGTAAATACACTGGCCATCCAGACAGCCACACACCTGCCACCTTCCGAGGTGTCTGCTACCTCTGTGCCGGCCAATTATGCTGCTGTTACTGCTGCTGCTGTTGCTGGGACCTGGACCCCGACCCAGCAGCGGTGAGTGAGGGCTGTCTTCCCCCAGCAGGCGCCAGGTCCCCAGAAGCTCTCCCTCCTAATCCTTCCTCAGGACTCTAACTCACCAGCCCCTTTCAGGCTCCAGGACCCCTAAGGTCCCCAGTCCTCTCTTCAGTTGCCAGCATACCCATCTTCCTAGGCACCTGGAAGCCCTATTTCCGATTCCTTCCAAGACCCTTCACTCAGGTGTTCTATCAGGGGATTCAGAACTAGCTCTACCTCTCCCTGGAGGCACCCAAAGTCCTCCTTCCTTAGCCTGGCTAGTCACTGTAATCTTGTCTGGCAATCTGGAGCTCATCCCATGGTCCAAGTCCTGTGAATTGACCATTACTTCACTTGTCTATGGGGTCCGAGGTAAGACTAACAGGCTCCCAGGGGATGGGAGGAGCAGGGGACACAGGGGGCTTGGGAATGACCTAATGCTCTATGATCCTCTTCTCGCCCTTCCTTGGGCTGTCCTTTCCCTGGGGAAGCCCCTTCAGTGACTCCCTATTCCTGGAACATACGGCCACTAGAAGCCGGGAGACATGTAGGAACAGGACCTGCCCCAGCCTTACCTGGGTACTCAGCTGTGAGGCTCCTACTCCCAGACAGGCTCAAACAGATCATCACTGCAGATGCCACAGGCTGCTCCTAACAGCAATCCCGAGGGCTACTCAGACCTGAGCACATACTAGCATGGAGCCTTAGGGCCTGTACAATGTCCCGTGGGTCCTGGCACTGCCTGAGGAGGCTTCCTGCAGGCAGAGCAAACAGACCCTAGTCTGACCTGCCCCGCCTATGTTGGCACAAAGGGAGTGTTTTCTTTGGTTCCAAACCCAGGGCTGGTGTCTGCCCCTAGCCTGGGCCCTTCTGGCTCAATGGTTAAGAGCAATGTCTACTCAGGGAGAGAACCTTAGTCCAGTTTCCAGCATCCACAGAGCAGCTAACAACTGTCCAAAATTCCAGTTCCAGGGAATATGATGCTGTTTTCTGGCCTCTTTGAGCCCCTTCGCACATGTGGTGCACTTACATACATGCAGGCAAAACATTTACTTAAGATAAAAATAGTGGGCTATTCCTAGGGCCCTGTGATACCAGAGAGTGGTTGAAGGTGGGGCTGTGCACATGTGCTTATGTTGGGTGTGTCCCACTGGACCTGGTGGATCCTTAGGTTAAGGGAATCTTTCCTAGAAGCTCACCGTCTGCCAAGGTATCCAGAGCTACATGAGTCAGAGATCTGCTCTGGAAGAGCATCCAGGCTGGAGGGGCACCCCCATAAGCAGGCATCAGTGTGGTGTCCCTGTGGCCATCTGTGGGAGTGAGGCAAGTTCTGAAGGGAGGTGGCCAGTGAGCTGGGTGAGGATGACGAGAGAGTGTTAGTTTGTGTGTGATGGGTGCAACTAGAGGGATAGATGGATTCTGGAGCAGTGGGAAGGGTTGATCTTCACTGGGATTTGGGATACAGTGGAGCCCAATAACTTTGCCTAGAACCCATGGGTACCATGGGAGGCTTGAGGCAGGTGTGTGAGCTCTTGGGAGAGGGCAGACTGATCATCCTGAAAAGAAGGTGCAGCTTTGAAGTCTAAACTTTTTTTTTTTTTGGAGACAGTGTCTCAGGTAGCCCAGGCTGGCCTCAAGTTCATTATGTTGTCAAAAATGACCTTCAACTTCTGATGCTCTTCTCTCTACCTCTCAAGTGCTGGGATTCCAGGCATGGGCTATTCCTGGTTTATGTGATGCTGGAGGTTCAACTCAGTGCCTTGTGTATGCTAGGCAAGCACTCTACCAACTAAGTTACAACCCTAGACCCTCTAAATTCATTTTACATTCTCTTCTTATCTGACCCACGTCTAGACACACACACCCATGCTACTTTTTCCATTGAGAAAAACATGATCAAATTTAAATTTAGTCTGGAATTCTCAAAAGAGTCACTATGATGGAAACGTTTTCTTAGTAAGAGATGAGAGTCATGCCAGCCCAGTGTAAGGCATCAACCTCCATTGCCCTCTGTCCCTAGAGTGGTAGGTGCAGATACCCAGCAAAGAGGCTTGGGTTGAGGTCCTGCTGTACTGCCTGTGTCCCTCATCCCTGTTATCCTACTGTACTCCTTTCCTGCTGTTACAGGGCAAGGAGGAAGGAGCACTGGTTTGTGAGTCAGAGGCATAGCTCAGGTGCTTGTTCATGTGTGAGTGCAGGGGTCACTTTTCCAGCCAGGTTCCTCTTTCTTACCTGTCAAATTCAGGGCTTCTGGTCACACCTATTGGGTGCCATGATGAGTCAGGGATGCACCAGGATCCAGAGAAATGTCTATGCTCAGAAGAAGGAAGGAAGCTGACCCTAAGGTGAAAATACGAGTAGCTAGGTAGGGCCCTGAGCCAAAGTCTGGGGGAAGTAGTGAGTGAGGAGAGGCTAGGAACACCCAGAAAAACCCTCCTTCATGCGAGGATGCTTTTTGGCTTATCTTTGATGCCCAGCAGGCACCTAGCATGGTCAGTTAGACAAACACTTGATGCCTATTATAGTATGACTGCATCTAAAGTTCACAGGGGTAGGGAATTAAGAATTAGGGTATTCTAGGAAGAGAGACCAGCCTGTGCAAAGGCCCAGTGCTGTGAGCTCTCCCATACTATGAGCTGAGACTCATTATTCCACTCACAGCTGACTTAAGAAAATGGATGTTAAAAAAAAAAAAGAGAGAGAAAATGGATGTAATAGAGTTGGTATTGTGCGAGGGGCTGTGCACACAATGTCTCACTTTAAAACATTTAATTTTAGCTGGGCATGGTGGCACATGCCTTTCATCCCAGCACTTAAGAGGCAGAAGCAGGCAGATCTCTGTGAATTCAAGGCCAGCCTGGTCTGTGTAGTGAGTTCCAGGTCAGCTGGGGCTACAGGGAGACTATGTCTTAAAAAGATCCCCCCAAAATTATTTTTTATTTTTTATTTTTATTTTATTTTTAAATTACCTGCATGTAGGTAAGTGTACCCATGTCATTCAATGCCCTCAGAGGACAGAAGAGGCTGTCGGATCCCCTGGAACTGGAATTATACATAGTGAGTTCCAGGACAGCTGGGGCTACAGGGAGACCCTGTCACAAAAAGACCCCCCCAAAATTATTTTTATTTTATGTGTGTAAGTGTATTGTCCACATGTATGTAAGTGTACCCCATGTTATGTAATGCCCTCTGAGTTCAGAAGAGAACATCAGATCCCCTGGAACTGAAGTTAGGGGTGGTTATTAGCCACCATGTAGATGCTGGAAATTGAACCCAGGTCCTCTGCAAGAGCAGCCAGTGCTCTTAACCCCCCAAAATTATTTTTATTTTATGTGTGTAAGTGTATTGTCCACATGTATGTAAGTGTACCCCATGTTATGTAATGCCCTCTGAGTTCAGAAGAGAACATCAGATCCCCTGGAACTGAAGTTAGGGGTGGTTATTAGCCACCATGTAGATGCTGGAAATTGAACCCAGGTCCTCTGCAAGAGCAGCCAGTGCTCTTAACCACTGAACCATCTCCCAATCCTGCATTATTTCACTTTATTGTGTGAGTTGAGGCCACCTCATCCTGCACTACGCAAATGAGAAAACCAAAGCACAGAGAAGTTTAAAATTTATCCAACATCACACAGGTAGAAAGTGAGACTCAAACACCGTCAGGCTGCAATGTCTACACCTGTCTTAGGCTAGCTCCCTTTTCTAGGGTCAGGGAAGCCCTGACCTTAAACTTCTGACCTTTGTTTGCCCCCTAGCAACCAGGGTGTCGCATGTGTTTAAGCGTGGGCTCCTAGAACTGGCAGGGACCTTGGACTGTGTCGGCCCTCGCTCACCCATGGCCTATGTGAACTACGGCTGTTATTGTGGTCTGGGTGGCCATGGCCAGCCTCGGGATGCCATCGACTGGTGAGTGCACATGGGGGCCCAGAGTTTCCCAGGTCTCCCAACTCCTGGGATAGACAAGACTTTTGAGGAAAATCCTTAAACTGAAGTTTGGATTGACACAGGAAAATCCTACCTAGTACCTGGTACCAACCTGTATACAGAAGTGGTCAGTGGGGACAGCTCTTGGTGCCAGCTAGCCCTTACCATGGCTGTGGGCTGATGACTTCACCTAGGAATAACATAAAGATGGCTAGCCTATTGTACAGGCTGAGGATCCCTGTGAAACCTCACAATAGTCCAATTTCACAGATAAGGAAACTGAGGGACAGAACCATCAAGTTGTTTATCTGGGCCAGCACAGAACACAGGGGATAGGAATTGGGGGTTAAACCCAGGCCACCTGGATGAATTCATGCCTCAGCCTCTGTCCTTGGCTCCCCTATGACAGCCTGCTCTGTGCAAGCCAAGAGCCTAGGTCCCTCTGTGGTGTCCTTATGCACCATCACTGGCCAGAAAGAAGCATGGCACTTCTTTCCATTTGATAGAGAAGGCCCCGAGATACCCTCCCATTGCCACAAAGCTAACAGGCTCACTGCAGGGTTCCGCAGCCTCCTCCTGAATCGGAGACTGTAGTTGTCACTGAGACATCTTCTTGTACCGGTTGCCAGCAGTTCATTTCTGTACTCTGGCTGTCTGGTTCCCTACATCTTCAGAGGAGGCTCAGGGAATGCCATCTCCAGGAAGCCTCCCCTGCATCCTAACTGGAGCTGCTACCTCCTCTGGGTTCCTAGAGCCCCTCCACAGACTGGAGGCTTTCTGAGGGCAGGGTAGGAGCTGGCAGGTAGGAACCTTAGGGTTCTGCAGAGTGTTGACAGGTATGAGGGTAGCTGGCTATTCCTCGGGGAATTGTCCAACAGTAAATGTTTCACTAAAGTCCTATATGTGGCAGGCCCTAAGCTGGGCCCAGGGGACAGACACAGTGGGGAACTAGATGGGAATCGGGTTTTTTTTTTTTAATTTTTAATAACTACATGATTAGAAGAAGCATTCCATTGCAGCTTTAACATTCAGTAACACACTCCAGAAAAAGAGTACATCTGTTTCACAAGTGGCTGTAAGTATCTAGGTTCACAGTTGAATTAATATAGTTATACAATACTGAACTCAGTATAAAAGATTAAAGGGGCCAATATAATTTTTTAAGAGTTCATATGTTTAGCTAAAGGCTACATAACAAGAAACATGCCAGACAGGAGAAGCCTTCCTTTGAGTTGTTGTCTGGGGTAGAACAAGAGTCTCCCAAAATTACACAGTCTTTGATTGCTTCGTTCCTTGCAGAAAGACTCATTGTTTTTGCTGCTAACACTGAGATGTTGGTTCATGCATCTCTAATCTGTATGTATCTGATTGTTACTAGTCATAATCGGTTGCACTTGGATCCTTGGCGCCTGTGTATGTCTATAAAGTCATCGGGTACACTTCAATGGTAATGTTTATCACCTCTACCAATCAACATGACATAAATTTCCATGCTTCCTCCTCAAATATAATACATTTTTAAAAATTTGTTGAATTTATTTGTGTGTGTGTGTGTGTGTGTGTGTATCACACAGAACATCCCAAACCATTTTACTCAACTATATAACCACTTCCCATATGGCACCCTCCCATAGCCTCCCCCAACACTACAGCCCTTATACTCTAATATCCTTGTTACTGTCTGCTGTGTTGTCGGCACCCCCAGCCATTCCCCACTACTTGTCCATCTGTTGAATCTAGTCAGCCTATCTAGAGGTCTTTGTTTTAAGAAGGTCAGCTGTTCCTCATCTAAAAGCAATCAGTTGTCAATATTCCTTTAGATAAGACTGGGGTCTATTGTTCACTGTCCCAGTTCTATGCTGGGTTACTATCTGGGAGTCCCTTTGGCCACCCTGGCCAACAACTCAAAAGAAGGTATCTCCTATCTGGCATTGTTGCTTGTTATGTAGCCTTTAGCTATACATATGGACTCATGAAATTATATTGGCCCTGCTAATTTGGTTATACTTTCCTTTGGGTGTTTAAGGCCATACAGTGGGCCCAGATAAACCAATTTATTTTTACTCTTAAGGTCATTAGAGGATCTGTTCCTCAGGGGTCACATGGGCTTGGGAGGAGCCCTTGGCTCCTTTCTTTCACCAGTTCCACCTATGTGAAGATAAATCAAAGGTCCTGCTTGACCATGGCTGGCTTTGCTCGGAAGCATGGAGGAAATGATTCCTCTGTGTTGACCCTCCTCTTTGTAGACTGGACACTGGTTCAAGTCCATCTGGTGGGGTCTCCTCGGCCTCCTTGATCAAGAGGACAGGTGACCCACCACAATTACAGGACATTTTGAGAGATGCTCACAGTCCCCTGGAACTAGTCGACCTAGGAGGGCAAGGAGCAAAAACTGTCCTTTATGTCCCTCTGACCAAATTATTATAGGCCTCAAAGTATGTCTGTTAAACATCCAAGAAGTTTAGTTCCACCAGTCTGGTACTTTTAATTACTGTGTGTCATGTAGATAAATCTTGGGCAAAGACCAATTGTTCTCAGATAAACCTTTCTTGATCATATATTTCTTGATCTGGTAGGTATAAATTGTCAGTAGGTTTTTAGAGTAATATGGTTCCCTCTGGTTTTAAAACTAGCTAGGTATTATTTATCTCCCCGCATTGACTCACGCCTCCATCATGGTTTTCCCTTCTTTTCCTTTATCCCCTAGATTCCCAGTATACCCTTCCCTCCCCCCTCCCTTAAACTAACCCAATTTTTATCCATA